TATCAATCGAAAGGAGACTGCGACCACACCAGAGGCCACAACATCTTGGTCTTCATATATTCAATCGAAAGGTTTATGGTTCGAGTTCCGCCGAGTGCTGATGAGACTAGTTCAGGGGAGGTCGAAACTGCAGGCCACTTCAGCCGGGATGAGAATACCTCTTTGGAAAGTAGGACAATGTGAAATCGAATGAAAATGTACGGTCTGCTGATATGATTGTGGGAACGTAAAGGAAATAGAGTAGCTACAAATTAGATATATGATGGCATCTGAAGCCTACTTTTAAACGAAATACCATTTAATCTTTATCTGAAATGGGGCCAAGTCAGAAAAACAGGTATTTTGCTCTTGCAATGGAGAAGAAGCTACTTATACTTCGAGGAAGTAGTGCCTCGAGACTGTTGGTAAATGTTGCAATAGCACTTTCGGTGCTCGTGGCCAAGAGGAAGAAGGCAGATACCTGGCGTGCCCGGCGAGTCCGGAAGAAGACGGGCGCTGTCACGAGGAGGGTGTTGGTCTGCAGACGACTGGCCACGAGTGCAGGAGCAGAGCGGCGCGGGACTGCTGCACTCGGTGACCAGTGCCAGACAACAGGCCGGTACGGCGCAGAGCAGTCGGAGGCGCGAGGAGCGGCCGAGGAGGCGACGCGCAGCTCGTCTGGCCGCGGGATGACCCGCGGTCAGGTGGGCGAGACAGCGCAACGCCGCCTCGGCCATGTCGAAAGCGGAGCCGAGTGTGGAGGTCTGGTCGACGGGGCCCCCCGGCGGCCGGAGGAGGGCCGACGGGCCGGTGGTCGGGCCCCAGCAACGGCTGGCCGGGTGAGGTGGGCAGACGGAGGCGTCCGGTGCCACGGTGCCCAGGCCCGCGGGGCTGCGCGAGACGCGGCGGCCGCGGCGCCGCTTGACGAGGCGTCCGGTACTGCTGGCGCCGGTGCGGGAGGCGATGCGTCGGGCGACGCTGAAGCGGTCCGAAGGACTGCGGCCCAGTTGGGTCGACTGTGCCGGGTCTCGGGAGGCGGCGTCGCGAGGCCATCCGAGAAGGAGGCCATTCAGCTGGCCAATCGGCGGAGGCATAGACGTCGGCGAGGGCCCGGAGAGGAGACTGCCCCTTCGGGGGCTCAGCGCCGTGGTAGGGTCGACAGCTGAGGTGTCGTCGGGAAGCGCCGACGGTCGAGAAGCAGCCGAACAGCTCCGTTGAACACCGATGAGAAGCTGGCGGCTGTCCGCCATCTCATGGTACAGAAGGTACAGATGGCGGTGAAGAAGAGTCAATAGATGGACCAGCAAGTCAATGCAATTGAACTGAAAGGAGTGGAAAAGGCAAGAAGATTCGTCAATTGGCCACATAAGTAGTATCAGCATCAGGCGCTACTGAAACTGAAGGCTACGAGGCAAAGCTAAAATCTAAACATGAGCAGCAAAAGAATAAACATGATAATAGCAGTGCTTACAAAATAAAAAAATAACATTTGGGCAATGAGGGCACTTTTTTGGCTATAATAAATAAAAGACCAAAGTACTATAGTCTCCTTGCTTTTTATAAAAGTGGTTTGATCTCGTTTCCCTAACTTGATCGTATTGTCATCGGTCCGACACTGGGAAGCATCATGGCTACTGTGGCAGAGGACTACGGACAAGGTGCCATTGTCTGGGTCTCCCTGAAAACACAGCCAAATTAACAAGACAAAGTCAAACTACTCCTCAATAGATAATGTAATAAATACCTTTTATAAATCGTTTTAGTGACCTCACCCGGTGCGATGACAAAAACCTTGGCAACGTTTAAAAAAAATATCATAACACACACACATCATTCTGCTTTTAAACATGAGCAGCAAAAGAATAACCATGATAATAGCAGTGTTTAGAAAATAAAAAAATAACCTTTGGACAATGAGGGCATTTTTTTTGCTATAATAAATAATTTACTCCAAGATGTAAAGACCAAAGTACTGTATTCTCCTTGCTTGTTATAAAAGTGGTTTGATCTCGTTTCCCTAACTTGATCGTATTGTCAAGGAGATCTAAACGAAACCATCTTGTTAGGAGTCATCGGTCCGACATTGGGAAGCATCATGACTACTGTGGCAGAGGACTACGGACAAGGTGCCATCGTCTGGGTCGGCCTGAAAACACAGCCAAATTAAGAAGACAAAGTCAAACTACTCCTCAATAGATAATGTAATAAATACCTTTTATAAATCGTTTTAGTGACCTTACCCGGTGCGATGACAAAAACCTTGGCAACGTTACAAAAAATATCAAAACACACACACACATCATTCTGCTTCCAACAGAAATAAAGAGGTGATATGATCAAGTGAACAGTAATAAGTTAAAGTAGACTTCGTGCTTACTGGTCAAATGCAAGTTTTATATCAGCCCAGAACAGCTTCATCGCCAAAAATCCAGCAGACATCATGTTTGAAAGAGAGATTTTATAAGATCACAGTACACAACCAACCTATGCTTTTTCAGAAAAAAAGTATACAACAACGATCTTGGAAACAAATA